GCTCCCAACGCTTCCCCCCCCCCTGCCCGCAACCGCCCGCAACCGACACCGCCCCCCCACCTGCCGCAGCTGCCCCAGGTCCACCCGATCCTCCCTATCATCCTTGCACACCGCCACCACCACCGGCGCCCCCGGGCTCAGCCGCGCGACCTCCGGCAGCCAGAACGCGCGCAGCCGCTCCAGCCCCGCCGCGCGCGCCGCGTCGACGCACACCACGACGGCGGCCGCCGCGCGGACGGCGGCCTCGGTGTTGCGCGCCTCCTCTGGTTTGGATGACGTGTCGACAACCAAGAGCTCCCCGACGTCCTCTGGGGAGTTTAGGAGCTCGGCGGGGAAGCGGGCGGCCGGCAGGACGGGGACGGGGCTGTCTGAGAAGCGCTCGAGGCAGGCGGCGGTGATGAGGGAGGTCTTGCCGACGCCGGGGTCGCCGACGACGGTGAGCACGATCGAGCGGCGCGGCGCCATTGCGCGGGCGCGCGTGCTGCGTAGGGGGCCGCGGCCGCTGCGCGGGGGCCGCGGGATGGGTGGAGTGGCGAGGGGCGCGGCCGCGCGGCGGGGGTTTCAGGGGCTGCGAGGGGTTGGGAGCGTGCGTTGGCGGGAGGTTGCGCGGGCGCAGCGGCCAGGCAGGCGCCCGCGCACGCCACTGCACCGTGGCGTTAGCGGCGAAAAAACCGGCAACAGCCGCAGCTGGATGAGCTTGGAGGATCACATGCTCTTGATTGCGAACTCACGGGCTAAGAAGAGCCGACGCTGGAAGTAGGCACCCCGGTGATCTAATGTAGCCTAAGCTATTTCCGCGGAGGCCCCGCGCTCCTCGCGTGCCCTTGATTCAACTATTACAGGTTGAAAACGCGTCACGGCTTATGCAGAGGAACTAACAGATCGCCAGGCTGTCGTTGAGTGATCCAATGGCGCGGGTGTCGAACAACAAAGAGGTCAGTCAAGTACTATTTACGCCACACCTGCAAATGTGCAGCAGTGAACATGGGTGGCGTGCGTGCAACGCGAGGAATGCGCTTGGTGACCCACCATGAGTGACGCACCCCTGCCTCTTGGTGCCGGCTCACGGGATGGACACCCCGCCCATCAGCGCGCTCGCCGGTCAGGCCGTGACATGAGGAAACAACAACGAGTAGAGACTGCTGCTGTCAACTCCTGACCACCAGCGCCGCACGCACCAGTGCCCCTGCGTCTGCAGCAGCAGCGCCCGCACGAGCAATCCAGGTGATGCACACAGGTCAAGCCTGGTCAACACCTGGAATCCGACCCCCTGCGACCACAGCGCAACAGCCCACCGCCACACACCCGATACAACATTCAGAACTAGGATCAGGGCCAAGGCGCTGCCCTCCAAAGCAGAGGGGCACTGCAACCGCGGGAACCCGAGCGGGGGGACACATCAGTAGGGAAACACGTTCCGAGTTCTCTCGCGCTTCTACAGCCCCCAACATACAGCCGAGAGTTAAGCGCGTGCCGCCTCAGGGTAGTGTTGACGAGTGTGCAGAAGGTTTTTGATAGTCAGAGGCGTCCCCCTTGCGCCCGTTTCCCGCCCAGGACTGGAATAAGCAGGGCCCGAATCACAAGGACGCAAGGACACAGCTGCGCCGCTGGCTCCCAATTTCCACCGCCCTCGCCCAAGACGCAGGGAACTGCCTGCTGGGTTTACAACAGCGGAACAAAAAGGGGTGGCAGGACGGTTGCATCCGGCAACTTTGCTGGAGAGCCGCCGCCAAACTGGCTGGCTGCACCCACACGTCACGGACGGGTAGACTGCTAGACGGCCATCAGCGGCTAGACACAAGCTGCTGCCGTGGACGGCTGTGCCCGCCTGAGGTCGACGGCAGCGCCCAGAAGGGGGCGTTAGCTGCGCCAAACGTTCTTCAGGCGTAGTGGGGCGGGCCTGACATGTGAAGCCGTGTGGAACCATGGGGTGCATTAGGAGCGGGGCGGCAGCGCAGCACTCAGGCCAGTTTGACAGCAAGAGGGGGGTCTGCAGAGTCGGACGACACACCTGCGCGGCCGCGGGCGGGTGGATGCAGGTGAGCGTGGATGGGTGGGGGCGCGACTGTGCGTCTGCGTCTGCGTCTGCATCTGCGTGCGGACACGTGCATGTGTGTGCACGCAAGGTGCAATAGAGACTGTGCTGTACGCCAAGCTTTGTGTGTGGAAGCATTTGGTGGATCTGAACGCCAGCGCGGATGCGGGCCACTCGCCTCCCCTCGCGCCCCGCCATTCAGCGCCCAGTCAAACCCCGGTCAAACCGCGGCCGCGCCCCGGTCAAACCCACCCGCAGAGCAGGGGCTCTGCGTGCTGATGGCGTCCAGGCAGCCCTGAAGGATCGACTTCTCGATCTTGGTGAGGCGCGCCGCGACCTGAAGACGAGGAGTCAGATCCGACAACCACCGCAAAGCGCGCGAGCGTCACGAGCGGGGATCGAGTAGCGGGGTGCCCGGCCGCCGGCCGGCGGCGCCGTCAGGGCTTATCCCCGCTGGCTCCGGGGGATGGCGCACGACGTGCAGGGTGAAGGCTCGCGCTGCCCCCCCCCAAACCCCGCACACATACATACCACACACGACGCGCACCTTTTGCCGCGGCGTGCTCTTGGGGTCCTCAAGTATCTCGAGATCTTTCCAAAGCGGCCGGCGGTAGGAGGCCAGGCGCTTCTCGAGGTGGCCCGACAGGGCGCACGCGGCTTGCTGGGGGGGCGGGGAGGAGGGGAGGGGGGAGAGTTGGGAGGTTGAGCAAAGGGCAAAGGGGCAGGCGAGGAAGGGGTTTGGGGAGAGGGGATCAAGGATGGGGATGGCAAGAAGCGGGGCGACCCTGTTGAATTATCATTGGAGGCCAGGGCGATTGAATTGGACGCCGCCAAGAGGTAGCGACGCGCCCTCCGGCGCCCCGCGGGTCATTGGAATGGAACCCCGCCACCAAAGCTGCCCCGAGACGGGCGGGCACCCCCGCACCTGCTCGATACCCGCATCAATCGGCGGCGCCCCGGCCTCCAGCTGCACCGCCGCCATCTGCTCCGCGCTGCGGGAGAAGGCCAGCCGCATGTAGGGCAGCAGCAGCGGCGGCAGCGGCTCGGAGCGCTTGAGGTCAAACGTCTGGAGGAGCGGGGGGGCGACAGGGGGAGGGGAGTGTAAAGACTAGGATTACAATCGTCAGAGCAAGCCGAAATCGCCCGCTTCTGGGGGTGATGCGGGCTCATGAGGAGGACATCAATGCGATGGAGAGCCTTTGCGACGTGCTGCAGGGTCGGGTGGGACCCGTCCACCAAGAGGGGAAGGAGGGGTGAAAACAGCGTGGGAATCGGGGTGACTCGAACAGGTGCCACAGAGCAAACCGGCCCGCGTGAACAAGACAGAGATCGTGAAAAAAAGACCGCGCGCCTGCATGGTGGACAGCCCGGCCTTGTCCAGCTTGTCCCGCTTGGCCTTGTACAGCGGGTCGCTGCTGGGCAGCGTGACAGTCAGCTGCAGCTTGTCAAAGGGGTTTGACTCATCCACGATGCCCTGGGGGGAGGGGTGGGGGGTCGTGGAAGGCAGGTAGGTGGGATGGGGTTTCGTGGGAGGCGGGGGGTGGGGGTGGTGTGGAGAGGGGTCGTAGCGGGCGCGAGCGCGGTGCGCACGCACGAGAGATTGACGGGGTGGGGCGTGTGCGGACGTGTGTGAACGTCGACGGCGGACGGATCACGACTTGTATAGAAGAGTGACGGCGTGACGAGACAGACGGCACCAAAAAGCAATGGTCGAAGCCCGATAGACGGGGTCTGACAGAGAGAGCGTCCCTCCCTCGCACACGCCCGCCGCCGAGCTCGCCCGAGCAGGGTGAATTGGTTGGAATTGGAATTCAAAAGGCGACCTCAAAAGCCCTGGCGGGCGCCTCACGTAGTTGAGGAGCAGCCGCGAGTTGGGCTGGGGCCCGCACCAGGCATAGACGGGGTCCCCGACCTGCGATGATGTCATGATGATGTAGGGATCGGGGGGTGGGGGTTAGGGGGTTGAGGGGAAGGGGTGAGGGGAAACACCTTGGCGGCCAGAGCCGTGGTGCCGAGCCGAGGTCAAGGTGTTGCAGGGCGCCCCCGGTCGCACAGCGGCGGCTTTGGGCCGCGTGCACGTGCACCCGTGAGAGGCAGCTTTGAGGGGCTCGCGCCATTGGCTGTCACCGTGGCGGTTGCAGTCCTGCGCGCGCCAAACTTTCACGCACGCATGCTGGTCAAGGCGCAGGCACCTACCCTGCCAGATTCCCCATATCTCGCACTGCGTGCTCACACACGTGCTTTCACACTTTGCAATCACACACACACACACACACACAAACACACACATTCAAACACACACACACACACTCACATACACAACCAAACACGCGCGCGCGCGCGCCCACCTGGTAGTCTCTGTCCACCACCAGCTCCACCCTCTTGGCCGCATCGTTGTGCGACAGCATCGCCTGACAACGCAACACGATGAGATGCGCCAGCAACAAGCTCGTCGCTTTGTGATCACAACGGCGCGCGTCGGACCCCGCAGGAGCTGCACGGGTGGACAGCTGCGACGGCCCTCCCTCCCTCCACGCCCACACACCCGTGAGAGATGGCGTTGAACCCCACAGAATAGCGAGCAACACACAAAACCCGCAACCCCGAGGGCGCACCTTGCATGTTGAGCTGTAGGAGAGTAGCGGGGGGCCCAGGGGCACCAGCGCGAAGCGCCGCGACGGCGCGACGCCCTGCCGGGCAGTATCCAGCGCGCGGGCGGGCATGGGCGGTGAGCGCGCGGGTGGTCTTGGCGCCAGCTCGTGATTCTGTTCCTAGCGGTCTCTAGCGCTGAGGCGCCGGCCGCGCGGCGCGCCTTGCTCCCCGCCTCGAAATCAGGTGTGCAGCCGCGCTGGCGCTGCTCTGCGCCAGACAGCAGCTGGGGCGGCAGCTGCCTCACACCCGCCCCCACCCAAGTTCCAGGGTTTAGGGGTTGAGGTGTGTACCCCAGGCGGGCCGCTTGTGCCCAGGACACGCCTGAGTCACAGGTGGACAGCTGCAGGCACGCACCTCCGGAAGCCCTCGTGCCACTGGCCGCAATGCAACTGGGCAACAACGCGAGGACGCTTTCGCACCCACACATACATTTTGCATCCACGCACGCGGCCATGCAGCGGCGCGCCCATGCAGCAAAGCTGCTATGCGACCATGCGGCCATGCAGCCATGCGGCCACGCTGCCATGCGGCCATGCGGCCATGCGGCCATGCGGCCATGCGGCCATGCGGCCACGCTGCCATGCGGCCATGCGGCCATGCGGCCACGCTGCTATGCGGCCATGCGGCCAGCCCCCCCTCGTCCCACCTGTAGGTGGACCACGGAGGCCTGCACCGCGGCAAAGGCCTGGCGGAAGCGCTCAAAGGGGAACGCCTCTGTCGGGATGTCGAAGGGGTACCTAAGAGTGGTTGTGTGTGCGCGCGCGCACGTGTGTGCGTGTGAGAGAGAGAGAGAGAGAGAGAGAGAGAGAGAGAGAGTGTGTGTGTGTGTGTGTGAGGGAGAGCGGAACAGGGATGAATTGATATATATCGTGTTTGCACATGTTTGTGTGCGCACATGCGTTGTTGCAAGCATGCGTGCGTGCGTGCGTGCGTCTGCGTGCGCGCGCGCGTGTGTGTGTGTATGTGTGTGTGTCAGGTTATCCGTGCAATCACGCAGCGGCTTGCACCAAACTGCGCCGCCTCATGTCACCAGACATGCAATGACAACACGTGCGCCCCCACGTGCGCGCCCACGGGAAAAAAAAGCCCAATAATAACTTGGAGCGACCCTGTGCCTGCTCCCCCACGGCCCGCCGCCTCCAAGAACCCAAGCCCAGGCCGGGGCCTCACTTGTTAAAAAGGCTGCCCGCCATGAACCACACGCCATCCAGCGCCTCGTACTCCTTCCTCATCCCCTCCAGCCGCTGCTGCACGGCCGCCACCACAGGGGAGCCTGGGGATGCCGCGTTCGCAGGCCGCGGGCGCGGGGCGCGACGGGAGCGGCGGCCGGGCGGTCGGTCGGTGAGTGTGAACAGTCGGCAGCGCCGCGCGGCCGCGTGGGCGTGTCGGGCATCTGCGACCCCTGAGATTCAGCAGCAGCCGCACTGGAGCCCGCGCTTGTCCAAGCGCGCGGCTGCACCGCGTCGCGCCCCCCGTCACAGATTCCCGGCCCCCAAGCACTCCCCACCAGACCCTCCCCACTTCCTGCGCCCCTGCCCCGCAACCGCCTCCCCTCAAACCCTCCGCCCGCTCCCCGCACCACAACTAGCGGAGCCCCCTCCTGCGGCC